CATAATAACTTTGGTTCTGGAGTTAAAAACTCTGCAAACTCTGCTATTTGTAGAGTAACCCATGAATATTCCTTCATCACTCTTGGGATCCATCTTCCTCCTTTGTTCACGATCAGCTAAGATGTAACATTTACTTCTAAAAACATGAAAGTATTTAACAATTGGTTTTCTTCCCTTCCATATTTCATACAAGGTGGTAGAAGTGCCTTTCCTTAGAGTGACTTTGTTATGGATATAGCATGTAGTATTCACAGCTTCAGCCCAAAAATGGTAGGGTAACTTCTTAGCATGAATCATGGTTCTGGCAGATTCTTGAAGGGTTATGTTCTTGCATTCCACAATCCCATTTTGTTGAGGAGTAATGGGAGAAGAGAATTCATGTCTGATTCCTTCAGAAGAGCAAAAGTCAGCAAATTTGTTGTTCTCAAATTCCTTTCCATGATCACTTCTAATTTTGATGACATGACTATCTTTTTCCCTTTAAAGTTTTTGACAGAGATCTTTAAACACTTCAAAAGTTTCTGATTTTTCTCTAATAAAACTTATCCATGTGTATCTAGAGAAGTCATCCACAATAACATAGGCATACTTTTTTCCACCAAGACTTTTAACCTGCATAGGTCCCATCAAGTCAATGTGAAGAAGTTCCAAAACTTTGGATGTAGTAAGATGTTGGATCTTCTGATGTGACATCTTAGTCTGCTTTCCAATCTGGCAGTCACCACATACTCTTCCTTCTTCTATCTTGAGCTTAGGAATCCCTCTCACAACTTCTTCAGATATAATTCTTTTCATTCCTTTTAAGTGTCCCAATTTTTGATGCCATAGTTTAACTTCATTTTCTTTGGCCAAAGTACATGTTGAGGAGAAGTTCAACTCTTGAGGAACCCATAAATAACAGTTGTTTTTAGATCTGATTCCTTTCATAATAACTTCGTTCTTTTCATTGCAAACAAGACATTCTTCCTTGGTGAAGTTAACTTTGAATCCTTGATCATACAATTGGCTTATACTTATCAGGTTAGCTGTTAACCATTTAACAAGTAACACATCATCAAGCTTGGAACTCCTGAACATTCCAACTTGCCAACTCCTTTGATTTCACCTTTGGCTCCATCACCAAAAGTTACATAAATGGTGGAGTGAGATTTGATATCTGTCAACAGATTCTTGACACCTGTCATGTGTCTAAAACAACCACTGTCAAAATACCAGTCATCTTTGGTTGATACTCTGGGAGAGATATGAGCTATGCAACTAACAACATTAGATTCTTTTTGCTATTTTGGGAATTTTGATCAGTTTTGGGAAGAGGAGTAGTCTTATGGTACCCATACAACTCGAAACAGAAGGGCCTTATATGACCAAGCCTTCCACAGTGATGACATCTCTAGGGCTGGGGATTCTCCTTGGTGTGATTAAACTTTTTCTTGTCATGATGTCCTTTCTTGCCATGATGTTTAGACATTTGATTCGACATCCTTGGTTTAGACTTGGCATGAGCGGAATCTACTGAAGGTTCTTTAGAATTTGGTTCCTTTTTCTCATTAAACCCTAGACCACTCTTGTCTCCTATCAGTCTTCCTGCTTGAAGAATTTCATCTAAAGTGTTAGACCCATTATTCAACATTTTGAGAGATTTGACCATTCTATCAAGGTTTGAATTCAAGGAGGTAACTTCACTTTTCAGTTTAGAAATAGTTTTTAAATTCTCTTCCCTTTCTGCCTTCATCTGAGTTATGAGAACTTTCTGTTTCTCCCCTTCAAGGCACACTTCTGCACTTCTGAGACATAATTCTTTGTATGAAGCAGCTAACTCATCAAAGGTTAGTTCCCCATCACTAGACTCTTCATTAGCTACATATTTCCCTGTCAATGCTTTAACATACTTGGCAGATTCTTCAAGATCAATCTTTGAGTCCTCTTAAGACCAAGTAACAGACAAATTCTTCTTTTGTTTCTTAAGATATGTAGCACATTCAGCTCTAATGTGACCAAAGCCTTCACATTCATGACATTGTACTCCCTTCCCTTGAGTGGATTTTTCTTCAGTCCTTTTTCTTCCAAACTCATTTGACTTATGGATGTCAGGTGAGATGTTCTTGACATTTGATCTTTGGTTCCTATCCATTCTTTTTATCACTTTGTTAAACTGTCTTCCAAGCATAGCTAAGGCATTTGATATTCCTCCATTTGTATCCAAATCACAGTCTTCCTCTTCATCTTCAATTTGATACAAAGGCTATGCTTTTGTTTTTCTTTTCAGATCTTTCATTGACGCTTAATTCAAATGTCAGGAGGGATCCAACAAGTTTATCCACTTTCATTTTGTCAATGTCTTGAGCTTCTTCTATAGCAGTCACTTTCATATCAAATCTCTTGGGAAAAGACCTGAGCATCTTTCTTACCAATTTCTCTTCAGGTATTTTCTCTCCTAATGGACTGGATGCATTAGAAATTTCAAGAATGTTCATATGGAAGTCATTAATACTTTCATCGTCCTTCATTCTCAAATTTTCAAATTTTGTGGTGAGCAACTGAAGTCTTGACATCTTATCTTTGGATGTGCCTTCATGAGTAGATTGAAGAATTTGCCATGCATCCTTAGCTACTTCACATGTGTTCACTAATATGAAAATGTTCTTGTCAATTCCATTAAATATAGCATTCAAGGCTTTAGAATTTCCAAGAGCAATTTCATCTTCTTCTTTAGACCAATCTTCTTATGGTTTTAACTCAGAAGTAGGTTCTTCATTTTCTCCCAATTTGACAGGGTGTTTCCATCCTTTTAAAACAACTTTCCAAGCCCTGTTGTCTAAAGACTTTAAAAAGGCAACCATATGCGGTTTCCAGTAGTCATAATTACTTCTATTCATAATGGGTGGTCTGTTCACAAATCCCCCTTCCTTGTCTATAGTACTAGAAAGTATCTTCCCTGGATCTCACCCAGATAAAGAGCAGGATGTCTGCTCTGATACCAATTGAAATTCTGGTATTAGATATGTGATGTCTAATGAGATGTCACGACACAAATTTCTGAGGAACAAAGTAAAGTACAACAATAATGAATGCAATAAAAAAAACAAGGGATTGTTAATCCAGTTCAGTGTAAAATAACACCTACTCTGGGGGCTACCAAGCCAGGGACAAGTCCACTAAATAGTATCAATTCATAGACCCTCGGTAAACAACCAGTTTATGATCTAATCACTTAATCACTACCCGTTCTATACTTCTATCTAGGACTCACCTAGGTATGAGGCCCTCCTCAAATCCCTTCAATCACTTATAGTGAAGAAACAACAGAAATAATAAGTTTAAAAACTTCAATCATTCATTGCTTAAAAGCTTATGAATGATACACAATTAACAATCCAAATAACAACACAGGTATTAAATCAATACTAGAGTATTTGACAATTAAAAGACTTAGACTTCTAAAACAGAAAGAAAGCATTTTTCTTCAAAAGTTACAGTCGTCTGAATAAGGAAGCAGGTCCTTATATATGCGCAACAGTGGGCTTGGGCTGAAAAACAAATATTCAAATCTTTTGAATATTTTCATGAAAGCAGACCAAGATATAATCCATAAAGAAAATTCAAATAGAAAAATTTTCCTCCATATTTTTTGTAGCCTATGAGTCACAAATCCTGAATTATGGTGCGCAGGAAATCAGGAAACAAAAAACTTAAACTGATATTGGACTGAGTTTAGTTCAGGAGGCATATGTCAAGACATATGCTTTGACATCATTCAAAACAGTTTTGCTTCAAATGTTAAGACATTTAGCAAAATATTATTAAGTCATTGTTTTACCAAAATTGCTGCCAACAAACACTTAAAGTAGTTCATAGTGTTGGTTGGTATTTTTTATAGGATTGCGTAGAATTGATTTCGAATTATCCTCGAACATTGTCTGGGTTGTAAATTGAGTGACCGTAGATGTAATTCGCAGTTAATTTTGAAAGTAATTCTATTTAATTTTTTTTTCTGAAAATGTCTTGGATTTTATTATGTTAGTAGAAAAATGGTTTGATCGTTGGTTAGCTATTTTAAGTGTTTCATTGACAAAGAGTATGGTAGGACGTAAAGCGGGGGGAGTCTGATAAAGTCTCATCATCAAGTGGTCAGATATTGATCACGTGGTCAGATATTGGTCACGTGTCGCTTATCATAAAAGATACGAAAGAAGTCTGTTAAAGTCTCCTCATCACGTGACCAGTTATTGGCCACATGTGGTTCGCAGATGAAATATTTAACGAGTTGTGTGGGTTTTAGTATCTTTGTAAAATACTGAATGAATTTGATTAAAAATTGTTTGAAGTAATTTTTAATTTAAGAAAATATTTAATATTTTTTATTATCACTAAATCAAATAAATTAAAAAATTAATTAAATCTAATTATCATTAACCTAATTAAAATAAAAAATAAGGAGGTGTTAATTAGTAAACAAGGGTTGGTTACTAAAAGGATGTGTGAAGTTAGTAAAAGGATATGGAATTTGAGCCTAAGTCCCAAGTAATAAACAACCCTAATTCTATATAATATATACTGATACTTAAAATTAAAATAAGGTAATAAAACAATAGAAACCTGATACTATAGAGATGGAGGGCGTTGCATTCTTAAGCATGTTCATCAAACACAAGATTCTTCAATGCAAAGTCCGCACGTGGAATTTAATAAGGAATAAGTACAAAATTCACAAATCACAGTACACGTTATCCCCTCAGTATCGATAAAACAAAAAGGAACAAATTTCCTTTTCCAGATTTACAGTATTCACCTTCTTCCCTTCTTCATCTCTATTTTTCTCAAAATTCTCTTTCTTTTCAAAACTAAAGCACCATGGATCCTTCTCTTATTTCAACTAGAAAACAAACACCAATCATGAATCAGAGAGTACAAATTGGAAAGAGAGATGTCGTACCTTAAAAGGGAGGAGCTACAATGCGGAATCAGATTCGGATACGTGGAGGGTGTTTCGCGGGTTGCGTATGCGGATCTGTTGTTTTCCTCGCAATGTGCAGGTCTTCGAGCAAGGGAGCGACAAATGTGATGTGGCAGACGTCGACGACAGATTCTCGGCGCTGTACAGGAAGTCCGGTCATAGCTTTTGCGTGAGGACGATAGTGATGTCCTATGCGAAGATGATGACAAGTGCTGAATTGTTGCATCTGTTTTTCCTTTTCTTTGAATTTTCGGCTCTATCTTTGGTTGTTGTACAGATTTTTCGATGAGTGTTTCTTCTGTTTTATTGTTGATGTTATGATGTTAGAGGTTTTGTGAAGGCTTGGTTTAAGAATTGTGTGGTGGTGATATCGGAAAGGATAATGGTTTGTATTGTGCGATTTTGACTTATAAATGTTTATATGGCGGGAAAGTTGATGGATTTGTATGATTTATGTGGTTATTATGTGAGAAATTTATGCACCAAAAAGTGTATTGACTCAAAATTGGCTATTGAGAAATACATTTTCGGGTGAGAAGCTTATGCCCCAGGTGGATAATTTGATTGAAATAAAAAATAGGTATACTTTGATTGAAACAAAAAGAGTGTACATGTTGAACATTGTAATTGTGAACGTGGTTTGTTGTATGCGAAAGAAAGTGGCATATATGCAATTTTTGTTAGTATGGTAATATTTTTTCAAAAAAACATAACCACCCGCCATAAATCATCATGTGGTTAAAATAATTTAAAAAAAAGAAATTAACAAAGTAAAATTGACAATGAGAGTGAGGGGGCCTCATATAGAAATCCCGATCAAAGTAGTTTTTGAAAGAAAATGTATGAAGAAAAGTTGAGAAGGAATTGCAATAGTATGGAAAATTTTAGGTGTTCTGTTCAAAACCCTAGAAAAACTAAAATAAAGAATTATGAGAATTTTGTGGATTTGTTTATCATTGTCTCATATAGACAACAACATGGTTTGTAAGAGAAAGATTCGTAGGTTTTTGTTGATGTTTTTTTTTGGATCTGTTTTACAGAGTTTCTGTTCAGAAACCCTGAAATAAACCAAAAGTAAGAGAAAGATTGAGATTGTGAAATTGTGGATGACAAATTATGATGGACAATAGTCTTATTTATAGACTTAGAATTAGGTTAAAAAAACTTAGAAAGTAAGTTACCCAAAAACCAAAAGAAGCCCAAAATTTAATTTATGAAAAAGGAAATAAAATTAGTGACAACAAAATTAAAAAAAAAAAGTTAAAAATGCAACACAAGAGATTCAAACCCACAACCTCGCATTTTGCAAGTTTTATTCTTTATCAGTTGTATTACATTACTCATTTGAAATAATAACGCAATTGAAAGTATATGAGAGGTGCACAAATATTTTCTATTTAAAAAAAATTAATTATTTTAAAAGTAAACTATTATATTTTTAAATAGACTTAAAAGCAAATATTTATAAAATCCAAAAGGTTAGTGTGGATAAACCCGAAATAATTTTAAAATCTAAATTTGTGGTATGACAGTAGCCACTATTTAATTACTCCGTGATTGAAGCGTGTGAGTGGGCGCAGTACTTACACATTCGGGTCGGAGGATTATTAAATAATGGAAGACCCCAAAATTTGACCAAAGGATTATAAGGATACATTATATAGTGTCTCCAAGAGTACGAAGAAATAGGCAAAGATGATGATGATGTATCATCCTATCAGAGTTTGAACAAAGAGTAAAATTGAATTAGATATGACAACGCGGATAACTCGCCAACACCTAGAACAGAGAGTAGATCTTGAATATTTACCATAACCTAGGAGATAAATAACACAAGTTGAAAGATTGATAACTTATTGCTGCATTGAGACTGATACAATGAGTTATATCGCAGTTATGGAGTAAATAATACCAGTTTGAAATTTGACTTACTAACGCTTTGTGATTAACATATCAAGCTTATAACACAAATTTTGACTATTCATCACATCCTAGGGGATTAATATAACCGAGTTGATAATCCATTGTTGCATGGAGATTTAACACAATAAATTATATCACAGAGAGACACATAACCTATTGCTCCTTCGAGACTAACACAATTAGTTATATTGCAAATTTCGTATATTTACTACAACCTAGAGAGTAAATAACACAGGTTAAAAAGATCCTACTAACGCTAAAAAACTAACATAGTAAGGTATATCGCAGGCTTGTGCACTTATTACTACCTAGGGGATAAATGACACAAAGTTGATAATACGTTGACGTTTCGAGACTAACACAATGAATCACATCGCAGTAATTGCATATTCACCGAAACCTAGGGGGTAAATAACACAACAGATAATTCACTGACGCTTCGAGACTAACACAATAAACTATATCGCAGATTTTCGCATACCTACCACAACCTAGGGGATAGATAACATGAGTATAGGTTTGTGTATTTATCACGACCTATAGGATAAATAACATAAACCTGATAATTCATAACCGCTTATAGACTAACATAATGAACTATAAATTTTCGCATACTTACCAAACCTAGAGGATAAATAATATGTTGATAGGCTTGTGTATTTATCACGACCTATAGGATATATAATATAAGCCTGATAATTCATTACCGCTTAAAGACTCACACAATAAACTATAGATTTTCGCATACCTACCACAACCTAGAGGATAGATAATACGTGGATAGTCTTGTGTATTTATCATGACCTAGAGGATAAATAACACAACCTTGATAATTTGCATACCTAACACAACCTAAAGGATAAATAATACGAGAATAGGCTTGTGTATTTATCATGACATAGAGGATAAATAACACAACCCTGATAATTCGTATACCTACCACAACCTAGAGGATAGCTAGAACAAGGATATACTTGTGCATTTATCACGACCTAGAGGATAAATAACACAACCCTGGTAATTTGCATACCTACCACAACCTAGAGGATAAATAATACGAGGATAGGCTTGTGTATTTATCATGACCTAGAGGATAAATAAGACAACCCTGATAATTCGCATACCTACCACAACCTAGAGGATAGATAATACGAGGATAGGCTTGTGTATTTATCACGACCTAGAGAATAAATAACACAATCCTGATAATTTGCATACCTATCACAACCTAGAGGATAGATAATACGAAGATAGGCTTGTGTATTTATCACGACCTAGAGGGTAAATAACACAACCCTGATAATTTGCATACCTACCACAACCTAGAGGATAGATAATACGAGGATAGGCTTGTGTATTTATCATAACCTAGAGGATAAATAACACAAACCCGATAGTTCATTATTGCTTAGAGACTAACACAATGAACTATATATTTTTGCATACTTGCCACAGTCTAGGGGATAAATGATGCGAGTTTGAAATTTATATTTGGCACTCAGAATGACGATGTCAGTTGTGTTTGTTCTCAACCAGGACTCGATTAGCATGAAAAATTCTAGGTTTGAAGATTGAAACTGTAGTTTTTCTAATGATGTCGGTTGTGTCTTTTCTCAACCAAGGCTTGATAATACAATAACAAAAGGAAGATAAATGTTTGAAAGGTTAGAATTTGAAAAGTTTGAATTTGATAATTGAAAGTATAATGCCCGAAGGCTAGTGATGACTAGGCCTTGGATATGAGTCATAGGTAAGCTTCCTAGTGAAATTTTGATAGCGGTACCTTTGACAGTTGTGTTTGTTCTCAACCGAGGTAGCTATAGTGATAGCATAACAAATATATAGTGTTGGGCTTGGATCTTGGATATTTGAGTGTGTCTTAGCTAGCAAGCATACCTTGAGATTTTTCGCAGTTTTCATGGACATATATGACTGAATGTAATGCATGTATGCATGTTTAATATGATTTTACTTGAGGTATGCATGATGCATGGTATGTATGCTTGATATGATAATGTTATGAATTGAAATGATGCAATGATTGATAAATGCAATGCCCGTTTTATTTGAACTGCAGAACCAAGATAGGCTACCAGACGAGAACTGGGGATAAGAATTAGCTTTCAAACAGAAATTGGAACACTACCAGACGATAACTAGACTTTTAAAAATACATGTCAGGCGGGAACTGGGATTTTACACCAATGTCAGTAAGGCTACTGAAATAGTATCAATCTTGGAAAAGTGAAACGAATAGAAAGGTCGTTAATATCGGTAAGGTCACCGAAAGACATCGATCAGGTGTTTGGGAAGTGTGAGGCTGATCACAGCTTTTACTTAATGCTGTTACATATGGACGACTGATGAAGATTGCATGAGGATGCTCACATCTTAAATGGCTTGGAAGTTATGTAAGGATGCTTACGATTTGGTTTGACTAAGACCGCTTGTACGATAGACTCGCTGGGAGGGATAGTAGAATAAATGTTACTAACTTAGCTAGAGATTGCACTTGGATTGAGAATACTAACTCCCTTGGACATTGACTCTAGATTTTTTAACGGGGGGTCCTAAGTCCTGGTCTATGATATGTCATATATGCACGCAGATGCAAGTATCAATGCATAGTATGTAACGATTAACCGATGCATGTAATTAGTGACTTGGATATGCATCAATGGATGTTGGACTTTTGATGTACCAATGAGAATTGGGCTTAAGGGTAGACTCTAAGTGAGATTGGGCTCTTAGTTAAATCCATGCTGTCGAAATTCGTCAGATGGATGAGATGAAAGGTATAGCTTGATTCTGGATCGAAGTGACCTAATGAATGCATGATAATGATTTATGCAGACTCATATGATTTTGGCTGATGCCCCTATAAGGGATCGCGGATGGTTAAGACATAGAGAGGTTGCCTATACAACAAGGTTGCTTGTCAAATCATGGTTGGATGTTATGCTAACATGATTTCCCGATACTTGATTTGAACTCGAAGATTACTGGTGTAGGAGAAGGATCCACTGGGGGATCGTGATAGTATACAGAGAGTTTGCCCCTTTGTGGAATGTCTTGCCCCAATTTGCTGGTAGGGTCCTTGGAGAGATTATCCTTGATATGATCTTATAAATAGTTTGATCATAGTAGGATGACCCTACTATATTTCACTTTGAAACATTATGCCCTTGACTAATGGGCTCTTGGATTATTTTCCCTTGATGAACTATTTTGAATCAACTCCCTTTGATCGAGCCTCGCAATGGTTTTCCCCAACATTTGAATTTTGAAAGATATGCCCCCTACCTCTAGGATCTGGAGGAAGTACCCTCATAAAGAACTTGGACCTCACCATGGTGTGATATGAAT